ACCTTACTAGGGTCAGTTTTTATACCGTCTCTTGAGACTATATACCCTAAAAATGCAATACCTAACTGACCAAAGGAACACTTTGTGGGTTTTAAGGTGATACCGGAATCCTTTAATAATTGTAAAATTTCTTTTAAATGCAACAGATGCTCATCAAATGTTTGGCTAAAGATAATTGCATCATCGAAATAAACAACAATAGTTTTACCTACTTTCTCACCATAAATTTTATGCATTGCTCGCATAAAAAATCCTGGTGCTTGCTTAAGACCAAATGGCATTCTATTGAATGTAAATAAGCCATCTTCCGTCCTGAACGCTAACATATGTTTAATATTTTCATCGACTTTAAACTGCATATAACCATTATTTTGGTCAATAATCGAAAAATATTTAGCGCTAGCAAATGATCGCAGGCAACGCTGAAGATCAGGTATAGGATATATATCATCTTCTGTTATATTGTTCAATAATCTGTAATCAATACACAAACGCTTTTCGGGTCTACCATCTACACCTATAGACTTTTTATCTACTAAAGATACTGGTGATCCATAACCACTACTGCAAGGCTCAGCTATCCCTAACTTTATCCATTCATTTATTATGGTTTTTATTATTTCATTGTTGAATGGGCTGTATTGTCTAGGTGGCTGTTTTATTGGCTTTTGCTCTAAACTTTTGAGTTTAAGTGTAAATTCTTCTATATTACATAAGCCTAATGTGTTTTTGTCAAATGCAAAAACGTTACTATAACACTCAAGTAATTCATTTAGTTTACTTTGTTGCTCTGTTGTTAGATCAGTACTTATTATATAACGTGTATTTATTCCTTTATTGTTATTTTTCAAAATCCCACGAATGGGTTTCTCGGCATAACTTGGACTATTGTTATTATACTGTTTGTCTGTAGCATACCTACAATAAGCATTACTGCAATAAATATATCTATCCATGCATTGATCTACTATTTGCTCATTGTTCTCGCAGTATTCGCATTTGACAATATCTGTTGTGGTATCAATGTCGCTGCATGAGCTATCAGTGTCATATGTGTGATATTCATCAGAGGTTTCTGTATATTCTTCTGAGGTCTCTGTATTATCACTTGAAAATGATATAACACTTTCACTTGAGTTAGACTTAATGCCAGTATCAGATTCATTATCTGACTCTTTATCTATTACAAAATAGCCAACAATTACACCATCATTGAGGTGTATATCATAACTGTTATTATTAAAAACACAAATGTTTCCCTTACTATATTTAATCATTAGTTTATCTGTTTTGATTTCGAGATTATATTTTTTTATAAATGATTTTGAGGTAATAAATTTGCAGTGAAAATAAGGCAATCTTTTTGTTTTATTGTTAGGCCTGACCTGTAGTATTTGTGGTTCATTTGCAGGTACAGTTAGAGCTTTAGCAATATGAAGCTTATTATCATGAAATTGATTTTCAGAACAATTGAGGTTTTTAATAGACTCTCTCCACATAATCTCACGTTTAGCACAATCAATGAAAATACCTGATTTTTCGGTAAAATTATTTCCTAACAACAATTGAAAGTGAAAATCATTAACAACAATTACCTTGACATTAACTACCTTAGTTAGGCCATTGATAGTGACAGTAATATTAGGATATAATTTGCCTATTGTTTTAACTTTCTTTCCATTGACGGCCCTGATATCTTCGTTACCGATTTTATACATTTTTAGACCAAAGCGCTTAATTACATTATAGTCAATTAGGGACACTTCAGCGCCAGTGTCAATTAAAGCCTCAACACTATTGTTTTCTATTTCTACTATTTTAAAGATTAACTTAAGATGTTTGGACTGGCATTGAAGATCATCATTGTATGTATCTGCGAGAGTATTTACTTGTAACTCTTCTTTTGTCGGACAGTTGCGAGCGTAATGACCTATCTTTTTGCAGAGATAACATGCGTTATCGCCTGTCAAGTTACGGGATCTACTTCTTTCCCGTGCTACATCGAACTCGACACGTTTAATTTGAGGGTTATTGGATCTGTTGGGTTCATGATCGGGTGGGGGATTCCGGCGATCATTTCTTGGAGAGTATGACAATGAACGATAATTATTGTTATTGGGATAGTAATTTCTGTTTCTATTATATGGGCTACTTTCCCGGCTATATCTTTCAACGGAATTGTTTCTATCATGCCGTCTATCATTATCTCCTTCATTTGAGAAATTTGGCTTATTATTATATATATCATTTGGGTAACCTCTTTGAAAAGGTTTATCATAATGTCTTTCTGGGGAAGATCTATCAAATGCTTTCTCATTATAACTCACTGCTGTAGTAGATCTTATATTAGATCTATTATTGAGATTATCTAGTGATGGGTTTCTAATGTGAGATGTTTGATCTCTTGATGAATAATTAATAGAATTATTTCGATTATTAAATCTATTAAAACTAGAATTACTCCCGTATCTCTCTATCTTCCTGCCGAACCTATCATAATTATAGTTTCGCTCGCGTTTCTCTCGGTATTCGGCCTCTTTGTCTAATTTAGTGAATAATTTTTCGAACTTATTATTCAAGTCACTTATCAGTTGATTATCATTTTGCTTGTTAGACATGTTTTCGAAATCCAGTCCAGCTTTGGTTAACCCTTTCTCAATGTTTGATGCATTGGTTATCAACTCATCAATTGTAGTACTATTGAATTGATATACACATCTCTTAATCTCTGGTTTAAAACCTTCACTTATGAAATCTATTTGTTCATTTTCGGGCATATCTGTCTTATATTCTAAACACTTAAGACGCTTATCGGTTATATACTGTTTCGCATCCTCGTACTCTAACTGTTTTCTCCTAATCATCCTATTCCTTAGGTCATTTTGTCTATCTGTCGGTACATGATACCTAATAAAAGCCCGGTATAAATTTATCCAATTAGTTGGAGCATTATTACCGGCCAGTTTAACATATAATTTATACCAATTCTTAGCTTTCCCGCTTAAGAATTGATTAAAATTGTTGAAACGTTTATTGTCATCCCAGCCTTTGAGATTAGTGGCATCGATGAAATCATCGATCCACTCTTGCGCTTCGCTACTTATGTTACCTTCGTAACTACTAATCCTAAAATTACCTAAAGAGGAAAGTCCACCACTTACTACTTCATTGACGACCTGTCTGAGCTCCTGAATAGAGATGCCGTTTCGATCGTCAGCCATGTTATGATGTCCTGGTCTCCTAGCTGGTGTTCCTCTTCCTCTGAATCTGGTGTTCATCAAACCAATCCGTCGACGTATTTCACTGTTCTTAGACCTTCCAAAGTGGAGTCGAACGGGAATCGCTTCTCCTTTATTGTGACAATGATCGGGTGGTACCTTCTCTTCCCACTCGACTCACTTCACTGGCAAGGCGCCTGTTCCCGAACCTTTTACCACACTCTACGGGAAGGTCTCGGTAGGACCTCCAATTGCAATAGATTTGCAATCCCGGAGCCGGCGGGTTGGGTATAGTAGATAACACACTAGTTTTTTAACAGTTAAATAAATTCACACAATATTTATAATAAACAGGTTTTATTGTATATATATATATAAAGTATAGTAAATACAGTACAGTAGTAATACAGTAGAAGACCCCGAACCTAAACTTATGTTGGCGTTTATATAGGTGGCTCAGTTAGGTAGGGCCGGTATCCCTATCCAATAGGGACTGGTGGGTGTGTATCATAATAAATATATTACAATACTACTAGTAGTAGTAGTTGTTGACAACATATTATTTTTTTAATTTATTATTATTATTATATTATTGTATTGATTTATCCAAACATTTTGTTGTTGTTATTATAACTAAAATTTTATAAAATAAATAATTAATTTAATTAAATTATGATAAAATTATTATCTAAATTAAATACTTGACACATATATACTAAATAATAGATATACTGTAAACTCATAACATTGTCAATACATTACTTTAAAAAACTTACTGTTTATATAAAGTATATGATATACTATAGTATTTAAATATTACAATATTTAATTGTAATTAAATTTTTATAGATTATATTATTATGATATTTCATACAATTATTGAGATCTTAATGATTAAACTGATATAACTGTACATAACTATAACGTTTTACAAACATATTAACAATTTAGTTATTACTATTTATTTTTGTTGCACTGGTAGTCAATAGTAGGTAATTCAATGAATAGCAAAATAACGAAAATATACCGTACAGTACATGTATGTGCATTGCATAATATATTTGTAAAAATATTACTATAGTAGTTGTTTAGATACCAGCGCGCAATTGCATTGCTAGTAGTAATAATTTATTATTATGAAAAAAATATTATAACAAATTTTATTTGCTCTGCAGGAAATTACATATTTTTCAATAAATAACTATTTAATAATAATAATACTATAATAATATAATATTTGTAAGTAAAAAAACATAAATTATTGAATAGTTTTTAATCAATTATATTTTCTATTAATATAAACATTTAAACTAATTGGATTAGCGGTAGTAAATTAATTAAATAAACATAAATAGTTGAAAAATTATATTATAAAATAAACTTAAATTAACATAATAAAATTAAATGTATATATAATATAATATACTGAATATATAAATTTATATAAATTTAAATTAAATCAAATGTTTATAATATACAATCATTTAAATTATCTATGTATATTTAAACTATGATAATAAATTATATTTTTTAATGTTTAAAAAATAGTATTTGTAATAATTATTTTTTGGTAAGTTATTTAAGGCTCATTAAAAAATTTACCAATAAAATTCGTACGATAATAATTTGTTATATAAAAAAGTAATAAAAAAAACAATACTAACACATAATAAAATTTATATACAAAACATACAGTGTAATAAAATACTTTAAAAAAAATAATATTTTTGTCAATTATTTAGTTAAACAAATAATAAATTATTTTTAAAATGTTGCATACTTAACACAATTAAAAGATAATACTAAATTAAACTTAAAAAAATTTTTCCAATAATTTTTATCACATATTATAATAATATATTCTCATACAGTAAACAGTACTGTAGTGTATATATATACCACAATCAACTCTAATAAAAGATAAACCATAAAATTATTTCATAAAATTAAATGATAATAACATCATCGAGTCTTAAAAAAACTCATTCATACATAAGTGACTGTATTGTATGTTAGGAAATACACTCACAAGTGTTGGCCGCACTCGTAGGTGTCGTCAATAGTATAGTAAGAGATGGATGACTGATCATCGATAATATCTTCGTCACTATAATATTCTGATAATATCAATGAGTGATTCCATGCAACGATCACATCGTTCAATGTTTTCACGACATCCATATCCTCAAGAAGATCATCGATTAGACACTCGACAGCAGTGGCCGACGGATGGTTACGGTTCCAGTCTTTGACCAGTGAGACCACATCGATCACTGTGAAAACAATACCGACCGCAGCCGATGCGCCTCTAAGAGCCAACTTTCCGGCAGAGGGAACGGTAGCTTTGGTGGCGCTACTGATTAGTCCACTGACACCTTGTGAACAGCAAAAAAACAAATGTTAGCTATATTTTTGAGAGAAAGAGAGAGAGAGAGAGAGAGAGAGAGAGAAAGAGAGAGAAAGAGAGAGAAAGAGAGAGAAAGAGAGAGAAAGAGAGAGAAAGAGAAAGACAAAGAGAAAGACAAAGAGAAAGAGAGAGAGAAAGAGAGAGAAAGAGAGAGAAAGAGAAAGAGAAAGAGAGAGAAAGAGAGAGAAAGAGAGAGAAAGAGAAAGAGAAAGAGAAAGAGAAAGAGAGAGAGAGAGAGAGAGATGATTTAATGGCCAATATTTATACCTTTAGTTTCGGCCGATGCGAGAGTTCCGATATTTTGGCCAACTTTACCGACAATCGCTATGTCGTCTTTGACTGTTTTGGCCGCACGCATAACACGAAACTCTTTGACATTGTTCGCCAGTTTTACCGATTTTTCGCCAATTTTATAGACATTCATCGAACCGTTGGCCAAAACCTGTACCAACTTTACAATGTTTGGTCCCATAGATTGCTGGTTATCGTCGCCGATAACTTCATGTTTTTCTTCTAGTGATTGGCCATATTTGCGACCTAAAAACTGGTCAAATGCCGCCAATTTTTTCGCTAAACGTTCGGCCGATTGGTTGCGTTCGGTGGCCACATTGACAAGGTTACGGTGAAACGCTCGTTGCCTGAAATAATCGCCCGCTTCTGTACCAATGGTAGTGACGGCACCCAATGCTGCAGTAATACCGCCGCCGAGTGAGACCAGTGCCGACAGACCGGCCGTAAACGGTGTCAAACCGACGCCGACAACAACGGCCACCGATCCTACACCGCCGACACCGGTGCCCACACTTTTGGCTATATTGCAGCGAGACTTGTGGCGGACAATTCGGTCCAATTGTTGCCGACATTCGGTAACCAATCGATCGGTGGTCAACCAAAACTCGTTGACCGCGTCGTTCAGTTCGTCTAATTCGTAGTTATTGTTACCGTCGGCGGTCGCCATCATGTCATGTATACATTCGTCGGTAAAAAAATAAAAAATTAATTAAACAAAAAAAAGTGATTATAAAAAGTGTAATAAAAAACTTTTTAAATTACATAAAATTACTTAAAATTACTTAAAATTAGTTTTAAAAATAAAATAATATTTTTGTTTTGCAAATGTTTTCTGTATTTCATTGATTAGTCATATATTTGTGTGTTTCCATAGAAACAATTATTACGCTATCAGTGCATATATGTTCAGAAAGTGCACACAATTTTGTTGAATATTAAAATAATTAAATAATTACTAATTACTAATTATTATTAATTAATTAATTAATTATAAATTAACTAAGTTATGCTATAATAATAAATCATAAAATAATAATAATTGTTGAACAAACAAAAAATTGTCTAATAATTCTATAAATTGTTTTATGATTTCTATTTTTAAAATTTTTAAATAGTTAGTGCACTTATAGTAAATCTATTGATGTAATAAAATACTGTATATTAGTGTACATGTAATTATTTATTAATAAAATTAATTATATTTTTAACATAAGCTATAGTTAGTATTTAATGTTTTATTACAATAAGCGCACAATCATACCAACACTTTCAAACCAAAACATTAAAAAATATTAATAAGCAATAGAAATGACAATAAAAAATGCCTATAAATAACTATTTATTATTTTGCGCCCAAATCATACAATAAAAAAAGTTATATTAAAAATATTTTTTATCAAATAGTTTTAAATATCTAAAAAATACATTCATTTTAATTGTAAAGTTATTTACAATTGTTTACCGAAATTGTCGGTCATATCGCTTGCTTTTCTCACTTTCGGTTAAATTAGTATTTTTGATATTTTAACGGCACTGTCGGTCACGGGTCTCATATTTAGCGGTCAAGTTTGCGGGCAAATGTGGTCACAATAGTCGGTATTTCGTATAAATTATAAATTCAATAAATTAAATATTAAATAGTTTTAATAATTAATTTGAACAAATAGTTATATAAAATTATAAAATAAAGAAAACTATTTTTATTAAAACTAGTTGTGTGTGAGTTATATTTGATAAAAAAATAAAAATTAAAAACTATTAATTATACTATTATCAAATAATTAATTAAAAAATTATTAATAAAATATATTTTTATTATAATTTAAAAGTTATTAAATATCTTGCAAATATATTGTATAATATGTACAGGGTGACTCAAAAATATTTATAAACTATATAATTTTGAAATTATGTATATATTTTGTAACAAAAAAATACTTTAAAAATGTCGCGCTATTATTAATTATAATAATTTAAATAAAAAAATAAATAAAATATTTTATTATACACTTAATTAAAATATAACTATATCAGTGTTGCTAAAGGTTTTCGATTTCAGGGGGTATAGGGTGGATTAAAATGGCAAAAAACTCAAAAAAGTTTCAGGGGATATAGGGGTAGAAATTTTTTATTGCATTTTTAAACAATTTTTACCAAATTTGAGTAAATTCCTTCTAAATTCCCAATAAATTCTCAACAAATACTCAAAACGTTTTTAAAATTAATAATGCATATATATATATAACTTTTTGATTATAATATTAAAATTATTATTATTTAAATATCTAAAAATTATGTTATCAAAATGACTACAGTTTATTAGTTCAATTATAAGTTATCAACAATATTTAGACGATCGATTAGCTAAAATAAATGTTCTAATGATATCATTTTATTATTATTATTATTAATTATAACTATAAATTATTTATTCATTACATAATTATTTTTAATTCATTATTTAAATATTTTTATAGTTAACAATAATAGTTACAAATATTTTCGTACACCCTGTACATATACTCATAATTATTATTTTTTAAATTTCTGCAATTAAAAAAAAATTTTATAGTAAATAATTGAATCTAATGTTTTTTTAATAATTTATGATTTTTTGTGCAATTAATTAATTTTTATAATAATTATTATAAATGTTAAAAAACTTTAAATATATATTAATATATTGTACGTTATGTATGGTTGTCTATGTGTTACCAATTACATGATGTAATCTATCGTATAATAAACTATACAATTGTTTGTATGAAAGTGTTGGTATGATTGTGCGCTTATTGTTAAATATGATATAAAATGTTTGCTTACTTTTCATTTATATAATGTATAAACAGATGTGTATTAATAAATAAAATTACACATTTTGTTAAAAACTAATATCAATTTTATAAATTTATAATTAATTAATTAATAAAATATATTTAGATTTACTTATATTTTATTAATAATATAAGTAGAAAAAACACTAATGTTTTTTACTGGTTGCCTAAAAAAATATTCTTAATAAGTTTTGTTTGAAAAATTGATAATTAAAAAATGATTTTTTAATTTAAACCTTTTTTTAAATCTAAACTACTAAATACCTGATCGGCTAAACCGTGTCGTTGTTTTCAATCATTAAACTTCATTGAGGAACTCATGTGCCAAAGCCTGGGTTGCTGTAAGTCTAGAGTAGGGATCGGGATCTGTGAGTCTATTGATAAAATCAGCCATAGAATTAGGATAATGCAATAAACTTTGTTCAAACACTGGGCGCTTAAATACCTTTTCACCTATATATGCACAGTCGATACAGGCGCCCAAACTGTACATATCCATCGGTGGTGTTAGCATATTGGATATATCTGATTCACGAAGTTCTGGTGCACTATTCTTGTGTTGGTAGGGTTTGGCAATAGCCCAGGTAGGCATAACTTCCGGTTCGTCCACTTCGTAGATATAACATTCCTCGAAGTCGGCCAATTTGAATACATATCTGGGCAATAATGACTGATCATCTTTGACAGATTTGTATAGTATATTGCGCGGTGTGAGTGCCATATGAACAACTGTAAAGGTTTCGATAATCGGTTTACCATCATATCCACGGATGTTTGACTGTTTGATCTTACTGTGCATAAACTCCAGTGCTTGGGCTATATCACGAGCAACCATTTTACAATAATAAATATCAATTATATTCAATGGTTGTGATTGAATCAGATCTTTGAGTGTTCCTGTCATTACTTCCATGATGAGCGCCCCATAGTTATAAGGAAACTGTGTAAACGGGTCGGTTAGGTCAATCCAATCGTACACTTTTATGATATTTTGTTGATTATATTTATTCAAACGCATCAGTATTGCCGCTTCTTTACGAAATGCCAGAACTGCTCTATCCATTTGATGGTCAAACTTTTCTTTATAAGATCCCATCGACACTATCTTACAGACATATGGGTACTTACCGGGTAACTTACCGATACTGGGATCGGCAGGTTCATCCCGTAGCACATTCACTATTTGATGATCGTGTTTACCTTTTCGTTCCCGAATAAAACCAGTAATTTTAAGGCCATGTTTTTGGAGTAATTTCTGGTAATGTTTCATATTTACCGGATCTTCATTCCACGTTATATCGTGTCCCCGACCAGCTGTGTCCCAATCGGACCATTTGTCCGACCAGTTATTAGCTCCTAAAGTTCTGATCGGTTCCATTGGCTGAGACAGTTGTTGCAGTTCATCCCAATCCCACGGTTGCGGATCCAATAGTAATGATTGATTTCTGTTGTTTCTGTTGTCGTCCTTCGCTTTTGCCATCAGTTCATCCAATGGGATGATTCGGCGCTTATTTTTTCTGTTACCTCGATTGCTGGCCATAAAGCTAAAGGTTAAGGCTATTAATACCGTAATACTACTACAAATACAGGTGCAAGTTATAGATTAATTTACTCTCGTATTTTCTGACTGATATTATTTAATTTTTTAAAAAATTTTTTAAATAAAAATTTAAAATTAAAATCTAATTATAAACGATGCTAATTTTAAAGATTAAAAAATATAAAATAACTAAAAATAGATTTCAATAAAACATTACTATGAGAGAAACTGATTACTTTCATATTTTTGTATATTTACTATAGAGTATGATATAAAACTGGATTTGACCGTGGTCAATAATTATTTGTAATATTAAAAGTTTATGAAATTATATAGTGATAATTATATGCAATATTATTTTTATAGTTTTTTATATTTAAAAACAACTATTTAGTACTATTTGTTTGTATTTCTGGTAGATTATCGTAGAGTGGGTGGGAGTGGTAGCTTAGGTTAGGATCAGGCATCCCCTTTTACATTATTATATTAAATATTTTTAGTTAAAAGTCGACAAATATATAAATTGATTATACTGTACATTAACATAGTGCATAAACTGTATGACATATAATCGATAGTAATATTTATTATTTTATGAATATTTATTTATTATTTTTATATAATATTTATGCATATCTTTCTATAACTTTATATAAATAGATAAAAAAAACACTAATGTTTTTACTGGTTGTCTAAAAAATATACTCTTAATAAGTTTTGTTTTTAAAAATGATATTTAAAAAATGATTTTTTAATTTAAACCTTTTTTTTTTAAATCTAAACTACTAAATACCTGATCGGCTAAACCGTGTCGTTGTTTTCAATCAACTTCATTGAGGAACTCATGTGCCAAAGCCTGGGTTGCTGTAAGTCTAGACTGGGGATCGGGATCTGTGAGTCTACTGATAAAATCGGACATTAAATTAGGATAATACCACAATCTTTTTTCAAACTTTGATCGCTTAAATTCTTTTTTACCTGTATGTGCACAGTCGATACAGGCGCCCAAACTGTACATATCCATTGGCGGTGTTAGCATATTGGATGTATCCGATTCAAAAAGTTCGGCTGCACTATGACTGTGTAGGTAGGGTTTGGCGATAGCCCAGGTAGGCATAACTGCCGGCTCGTCCAGTTCGTAGACATAGCTTTCCTCAAAGTCAGCCAATTTGAATACATATCTGGGCAATAATGACTGATCATCTTTGACCAATTTGTATAGTATATTTCGAGGTGAGACTGCCATATGTACAATAGTAAAAGTCTCGCAAATCGGTTGACTATCGTGTCCAAGGATAGGATGTCTATTGGTGTCTAACCTGTATTTGATTCTACTATGAATAAACTCCAGTGCTTGGGCTATATCACGAGCAACCAATTGACAATAATTGAAATCTAGTATTTTCATTGGTTTCGATCTAATCAGATCACTGAGTGATCCTAACATTACTTCCATAATAAGTGCCCCATAGTTATAAGGAAACTGTGTAAACGGGTCGGTTAGGTCAATCCAATCGTACACTTTTACGATATTTTGTTGATTATATTTATCCAAACGCATCAGTATTGCCGCTTCTTTACGAAATGCCTGAACTGCTCTATCTATTCGACGGCCATACCTTTTCTTATAAAATCCCATCGACACTATCTTACAGACATATGGGTACTTACCGCGTAACTTACCTATACTGGGATCGGCAGGTTCATCCCGTAGCACATTCACTATATGATGATCGTGTCTACCTTTTCGTTCCCGAATAAAACCTTGAATTTCATAACCATATTGTTGTAATAATTGGCGATAATGTTCCATATTTACCTGATTTTCATCCCATACAATATCGTGTCCCCGACCAGCTGTGTCCCAATTGTACCATTTGGCTGACCAGTTATCAGCTCCTAAAGTCCTGATCGGTTCCATTGGCTGAGGCAGTTGTTGTAGTTCATCCCAATCCCACGGTTGCGGATCCAATAGTGATGATTGATTTCTGTTGTTTCTGTTGTCGTCCTTCGCTTTTGCCATCAGTTCAACCCATGGGTTGATTCGGCGCTTATTTCTGTTGTTTGTGTTGTCTGTTGGGATGTCTCGGCACTTATTTTTACGTTTATCTCTTTTGCGGACCATCTTCAGGTACAAGTTATTGAGTAGATCTACTCTGATATTGACTGACAGATATTTTAATTTTTTTAAATTAAATTTTTCTATTTCTATAAAAATGCAAAATATTGAAAGTAATTATTAAAAATGTTATTTTGTAAAGACTAGTTTTACCCGCGCAACATGTATAGTATTGCATACTCTTACTAATTGCTTAACAAAATTCTTTATAATGAGACCTATAGATATACATATACAATAGTCAACTACAATTATAATTCTGATTATAAATGACTATTTTGCTATATTTATGCTATCCATATAAACGTCTATAAAAAAAGTTCGCGCTATTAAAAATTGATGATTTTTTTGCTATAATGTTGTATACATGTACAGTTACAATATATGTAAAAATAAATTTACGCAATCAAGAGAAACGTCTTTGAAACTGTTAAGCAATATTAAAATTTTTTAGTTAAAATGTAGAATACATATGTAGTTAAAATCTAAGTAAAAATAAATTTATGCTATCCATATAAACGTCTATAAAAAAAGTTCGCGCTATTAAAAATTAATGATTTTTTTGTATAATGTTGTATACATGTAAAGTTACAATATATGTAAAAATAAATTTACGCAATCATAAAAAACGTCTTTGAAACTGTTAAGCAATATTAAAATTTTTATTTTTTTAGTTAGATTGTAGAATACATATGTAGTTAAAATCTAAGTAAAAATAAATTTACGCAATCAAGAGAAACGTCTTTGAAACTGTTAAGCAATATTAGAATTTTTTAGTTAAAATGTAGAATACATATGTAGTTAAAATCTAAGTAAAAATAAATTTATGCTATCCATATAAACGTCTATAAAAAAAGTTCGCGCTATTAAAAATTAATGATTTTTTTGTATAATGTATACATGTAAAGTTACAATATATGTAAAAATAAATTTACGCAATCATAAAAAACGTCTTTGAAACTGTTAAGCAATATTAGAATTTTTATTTTTTTAGTTAGATTGTAGAATACATATGTAGTTAAAATCTAAGTAAAAATAAATTTATGCTATCCATATAAACGTCTATAAAAAAAGTTCGCGCTATTAAAAATTAATGATTTTTTGGTATAATGTTGTATACATGTAAAGTTACAATATATGTAAAAATAAATTTACGCAATCATAAAAAACGTCTTTGAAACTGTTAAGCAATATTAGAATTTTTATTTTTTTAGTAAAATAAATCCAAATGTCCAATTGATTCCTCGAAGGTAAGGCAAATGATAGCAATATTGATGAAAATAGCAAATGAAAACAAATTTGTAGTCAAAATGAAAACAAAGTGATATTTAAATTTATATTTCACGCGTTTATTAAATATTTATTAAATTACGCGATTATTAAATATTTATTAAATCACGCGATTTATTAAAATTGTTATGTATTTAATGATAAATAATAAATAAACAAATTATTTTTCTCGTGCAATAATTAAATTAATACAATTTAAAAAATATATAATTTTTGAAAAAATTGAAAATTTTAATACAAATTGAAAATTTTTGCATTTGAGAAAATTTTACAAAAATTTAGCACAGGTAGCTAACCTCCCGGTGCCCTATGACTCATATAATATAGTAAAATGTAATTCCACAATACCTGCCTCTTTGTCCTCAAAATCTACTTGACCTCAATAATCATTTAAAATTTCCCATAGAAATAACATTGCTTTCAATAAAAAATGAAAATAAAACAATACATTTTTACATTTGAATTAAAATATGGTTGTTGATGAAATGTGCACGCATACAGACAGACAGACAGACAAACAAACAGACAAAACAAATGTCTTAAAATGTTATCTTGATTTTAAACGTAAAATTTATTGAAAATAATTTTTACTACGAAAAACTGGTTACTTTCATATTTTTTTGTGTATTTAGCTTTTCTTTACTATAGCTGCCACTTGTTAGCACGTGATTAATATTTCTATATATTTAACGGTAAATATTTATTGTCGCGCGACCTAACCTAACCTAACCTAACCTAAACTTAACTAAAATTTATAGAAATATTAATCACGTGCTAACAAGTGACAGCTATAGTAAAGAACTGCCTATAATATAACTGTGAATTTGTAAATATTTAATGTTTATGAAATTATATATTGATTATTATAGGTATCAATAATATTATTTTTAATATTTAAAACCAACTATTTAATACTATTTGTTTGTATTTCTGGTAGGTTATCTTATAGTGGGGGATGGTAGATTAGGGTAGGATCAGCCATCCCCTTTTACATTAGTATATTAAATATTTTTAGTTAAAATTTTTTAGCAATTATATAAATTTAATATAATAATACATTATAACATAATGTATGAACTGTATGACATATAATCAAGAGTAATATTTATTATTTTATGAATATTTATTTACATAAACTAATTTTTTTAGATAATTCACTAAAAGTTATAACATTTTAGTTAAAAATAATATTTTATTTTAGTAAAATTTATATATAGCTCAAGTTTGTAAAGATAAACATTAACATTACATTAAAAATAACAATAATTTATACTTTAGTTTTATTAATTTTACTTTTTAATTAATATTGGTAGAAAGTTTATTTAGTTAAATGAATTTTTTAAAAATAATTTAATAAAAAAATTTAGTCATAATTACTAATTAAATAATTATGAGTAACAATAATAAACATAATAAAACTGTATTAAAATACACTGGATTTGATATACTAATCAATTATCACATCATTACTGGCAACACATATATTATATGGAGATATTTGAAATGTCGACCCAAATCGTTGATCAAATTTTTGATATTATTTGTCTGGAATTTACTATTATTGGCACTAATATTACGAATGATAGTAATTATGATATATTATACACAGAATCTAAATAATAAACAAAATAATAGTAATAATAATACTGTTAACAAAAAACTGATTTAATTAATGCATTGAAAATGGTAGCCGTACTGACCTATGCATTGGAAGGACTGATAGTTTGGTTGATTTTGTTTGTAAAATGTCACCAATTGTTGGCATTCATTGAACCATTGCTACAATCGTTACGGATAAACACCCGCTATGAACGTCGACTGGCCATCAATATAGTTGCTGTACAGTTGACACTAGTATTATGCGATTTATTGATATTTACTTTATTGAAAATAACTTATTTTGGGTAGACTATCGTCAAACAAGCCATCAATTATCTATACAAACAAATTGATGTTTATGATTGTATGCAATGCTAAATTAACAATTATATCGTTGATGGCCTATACCAGTGCTTGTATCGGACGAAAGATTAATGAGATTACCCACAGTTTTCAATCGTTAGAGACATTAAGGGATTTGTTTCAACAGATATTGAAAATACAGATTTGGATCAAACAGTTTAACTCATATATCACTGGCTATATTATGACTGGACTGACAATCGGTACATTGAATTGTGTGTCCAGTATGTCGATACTGTTTCTCAATTCACGTAACTATTACTATACTATAGGTGTGTTTTGTGCTGAACTAGTAGTTATTACAGATATATGTATCTCATCGACTGTGGTATCAATGAGTTTCAATAAACTTATAGTTAAGTTACAAAAATTGGAATCAGAATATTCTGATAGTAGTTATAATAATAACAATAATTATTTATTTATTAATATTAAACAGAATAAATTTAAAATTAATTTTTCTTTAGACAATTATTTACTATTAAACAGATTGTATAAAATGAAACACAAATTTTATTTTACGGCATTTAATTTGTATAAAATCAATACAAAAACTATAATAACATTATTGGCATTAGTCGTAAGTTATATAATACAATAATATTGATACAAACTTACTAATATAATATTCCATATTTTTTGTAGTATTATAAAATTAAATACAAATCGATATAACTGTTTAAAATATACACTAAATGTAAATATATTGTAATTTATTATTTTTTAAGAACAATTTGAGGGCAAATATTTTTTTATACTACTTTTATTATTAATTATTATTTTATAACTTTTATTACATTCTATCACTGTTTGAAATATATTAAAATAATTAAATGTATTAATTTTTTATAATATTTGTATATTATTAGTATTAAACAAATTAATAGTAAATTTAGGAATAATATAACTAAATAAATAAACTATGTATAGTAAAATTGCTGTGTATAGTATAAGTAATAATAAATATTATATAAAAAATATATTATTTTAGTATTAAATCAATACGCTTAGCAAATACCGCTGTTTATTATGTTTCTGTATTAATGAAAATAATAATTTCTTATAAATATTTAATAAATTATTTACATAAAAAATATTTATATTAAAATTCGTTTTCATAGACATAAATTATTAATAATTTACTTGAATTTTATTATAATTTATATACGGTAGTATAAAAAAATGTATACAATTAATATAAAACCTAAAATTGGTGATAACAATGTATTTAATAGATATGGATATAATAAAGGATTCAATATATTAATTAATTATCAGACAGTATTTGGCAATACATATATCCTATGGAGATATTATCGTAAAACTTGTAATAAAAAATTTTCACTACAATTATTTTTATTATTTACCTGGAACCTATTGTTATTTGGTTTAATGCTCAAACTATTTTGGACAGACATCTCATTTATACATGAATTGTATATTACATCACATGATAGGACACGAAAAAGCAATTTAATATTTGCATTGCAAATAATAGCACTTGTCGTTTACTGTATGGAGGGTCTGGTAGTTTGGATCCTATTGTTTGCCAAAAGTAAGCAATTGTTGAGTTTTATTGAAAAACTTATACACCGTTTACGTGTCGACAGTCGGTATGAGCGCCGGATAGCCATCACTATAGCCATAGTACAGTCGTCTATATCATGTATAATTGGCATAATATTTATCGGATTAGTTGTAATTGATCAAGGTAAATTTGTTACCGATGCTGATGTCTATGGGAGTCAACTTCAATATACCATTGTTTTAAATGCCAAACTAACAATACCGGCATTGATAACATATACTAGTTGTTT